GTGAATGATTTTTGGGATATAAATTTGAACTTAAAGGTGCCTATCTTTATCATCCCAGAGGATGGCAACATTGCAGGGTAAATTGTTGCTTTTATATGTGGATATTATGCGTAAAATAATCACCGGATATTTTTAGGAACAGTAGTCTTTTGATATTAGATTTAGGGAGAATAGAAGTCACCACCGAATTATGGAAAAGAAATGTCGTCCTTGAATTTGCCACTCAAATGGAAATGGAGGAGCAACTATATTCCCGCTTACACATTAAGTGTTCCGACATTCAAGTCCTTTTCGGAAATTCAAAAGACAACTGGAAGGAATCAATGAAAGAGAAGGACACTGAATTGCATATTTTGCCAAAGACAAAAATTTCAGCTTTTTACGCGTTACGCGTCCGAGACGTTTCGAACATACCAAGGTATTCCTCACACAAAGACACCGAAATTGCTTCACAAATATATACAATAATACTTTGCAGGTACAAATTTAGCTCTGCTTTTGAAAACTTTAAAATAAATATCAGAGAAAAAAGGCTAGAGCAGATTTTCGACTACTTTGATTCATTACTAGAGAGTAAGAGGAACGAAATTCCTCAGAATAGAGCATCGAGGTGGTTGAATGACACTATTTTCACTAGAAATTCTTATTCTTATCATTGCCATGTATTATCTATTATCAAAAAGTCAACCGGATTGAGCAAACCGAAATCTAAAGACAATTCCTCCTCGACGTCTTCAACTAACCAAGATAAGAAAAGGTACGTGAATTTCAAATAAACAATGGTTAACTTCTATGAAACGATGGCTAATGTTGCTTTTAACTGGAATGTGGCTCTTTTACAGAAATGTGGAAATGCCAAAGCAGGATATGAATGAAGCATTTGCAAGAGTAATAGATTTGCCAGGACTTGAAGACAATATTTCCCCCAACAATACAATTCGAACTCTTCTCAGGTTTAGCTTTAACGAGGTAACACTAATTTTACGAGGTTAAACAATTATTTTTCGTTAAGCTACGTCAACTTTTGTTAAATAAATATTTATATTTGCGTCACTAATTATAGTTCAATTAATAGTTTACGTTGACAGTATTCCGATCAAATGCAGCAACAGACAAGCAGTACCTTATTCTTCGACTTCATGAAGTCACTGTTGACTTGGCCTACATGACTTATGGTCCAGCTTATCAGGTTTCGGTGAGAAGTATTTGTTTAACAGACAAATGCCACACTACTTGTAGTGGTCAGTATTTAGATCTCATTCATAGTCCTTTTCCGAGTAAAGAAGACATTTTTGTTCTACTTTATAGAAGGGTGAGTTGCTTAAGTCCAAAATACTATCGCTTATTCATTTTGGCGATAAATTTTTGTAGGTAGATGCAAAATGCCCAGACTTCTGGACACATTTTCATGGGGTGGAAACATCCCTCGTTGCGGATTTTGACACTGTCCATTTAACTCTTCATCAGGAAGCGACTGAAAATCTTTTAAAATATACAAAATATCTGTGTTATACGTAAGCATTTGCATTTTGAAAAGAAGTGAATTTCAAAATAATCAGCTGTTTTTTCAGCATTTGCAGTAAACTTTCTGGATTATTAATCCCTTCGGTCAAAAATACTTGGGCGAAGATAAAAGCGTCGTTTTCGGACTCTCGTAAGAATACTCCTGTTCCTCCTGGAGCTGTTAAATACTCACAATCAGGTCGACTCAATATAATGGACATAAAAGTATGCGCCTCCGATTTTGACATTATGGGCATTCAGATATCTGGACTGGAAGTTGATTTGCTCTTTCGGGCAAACGAACGATTTGTGTTTAAGTCTTTCCTGAGACATATTTCTGTAGACCATTTGTCTGAAGTAACACTTTATCCAAAAGTGAGTTTCCTATTCATTCGCTTCGCTTATTTAACATTTGGTACGTTTTAAAACTGAATTTGGACGTAGATTTTGACAACTGATGGTGAAAAGGTGTATGAAGTAAAGTATGTCCAAAATGCAACCCACATAGTGGAGCAAAATCAAGGGAATGAGGACAAAATTGTCACCAATGGAACCTTCAAGTTTTATTTGGGACGACTACATATAACATTCCTTTATAAACTAATTGTGCAGTTCCAGGTGCAGACTCCAATATTTTGTTTCCTTCAGAAATTAATTCCAAATATTGTAGCGCTTTCTTCTGGGAATGGAAATGATTTCTTGCGTGGAGAGTCTATATGAAATTTTCTCAAGGAACATTTCCAAAATAACAGAAACCTTAAAACCAAATTCCAAAATACATCTTGCTATAAATCTACAAGGTCCGGTTATTTTATTTCCTCAAAAATCCGATTCTCCTAATGTAATTATCGTTGACACAGGCAAGTAGAGTGGAATAATTAATTACAAAGCTTATTAATTATTTGTTATTTCCCACTTAGGCGAATTACATTTAGAAAATTTCTTCAAGAGGTACTCAAACGATGTTGTTGATAATATTCTTGTTAAACTTGATCAGATATGCTTATCAAGAGCTGTAATGGGTTTAACGGCAAACATAGAAATGCAGGCAAGTTAGATAAAAAATACGATCAATTTGAAGAACTTTAATGCATATATATTTATTTAGGAAACAATGTTGGAGCCGCTTGGATTAAATTTGGATGTAAAAAGCTACGTATCTCAATCCAATTCTCTTAAAACGAATATATCCTGGGAAGTAGATGGAAACTTGGACGTAATTCAGATAAACGTAGGACAGAGAGATTTGTCAACACTAATAGCCTGTTACACAGACAACATAGGTGAAGGAAAGCTTTTGAACTTGCTCCCTGAAAAGAAGAAGGTCCCAATTAAAGAGGATGAATCCTTAGAAGCCGTTAAGAAATTAGAGTCCTTTTTTTGCAAACCGAAACAGAAAGACATTTCGTTGAAATTTTCATTGGATGGCTTACATGTAACGTTATTTTTCGATCCTAGTGAATTATTAAGCTCGCCAATTAGGGATTTAAATCATGGATTTTGTAAAATTGAATTAGCCGAAATTGCTCTGTATGTTGTGGTTTACACGGACAAAACTTTGGAGGGAAAGTTTAATGCTGAGATGATTACAATAGAAGAATTAGGACCAGACGTAAACACATGTAATAAATAGTAAGTTATAGTGAATATAAAAATTATAATTTTGCTTCATTTTCTAATTCTTCTAATTTTTTTGAACAACTGGAAGCAGAAGCCGCTATCTTATTTCTTAATACTTTTTTTCAGTATCTTACAGTCAACTGCGGAAGACAGTGCGAATAACAATGCCAAAGTAACAATAAATAAACCGCCTGTCATAGATATAACATTTACTCAAAACAAATCCAATGACAAGTCTGTAGATACAATAATTGGAAGTTTAAGTTTAAGTCTGTCCGTGCCTTTCTGTGAAAAAATTGCAATATTCATCTTGGAATCGTTACCAAAAGAAAATACAGATTTGGGTATTGTAAACCATGGTTACATAAGTGATCATTCAGAACAAGAACCAACGGTCAACTGTACCTCCAGTTTAACTGTAGCTTTACGAATAAATAAACCAGAATTCATTTTTGTTATTGAAAGCACTTCCAAGAAACAGAAATATTTTATTACGAGATCGGAAGTTTTACTGGATTATTCTAGACATAATAATACTTTAAATTTGGTTTTGTCTCTTTCTGGAATACATACTCTATTTTACGACTCTGGATTAAGCTATTCTGATTCTTACGTAGTCTTGAAGAGGTGTGAAATTGAATTAGCGAGAAATTATTCCGAAGATAAAGGAGAGAAAATTTCATTATCAGTATCGCCTATACAAATTCATATATGTGATAGAGTTGTCCATTCTATTACCGACATTCTTCACGATATCGCGGAACATTTTAGAGTTCCTGATCAAACATCTCGAAAGTCCTCAAGGGCTGGGAAAAGGTTTTCACAAAAATCATTTGAACATGACGATTTATGGGAATCAAAGAAATTACCCGAAACCCAGGACGAGCTAAAGAATATTTATGTAAATCCTAAACCACCTGTTCATAAAATCCATCAAGTATTTCTGATGTCCAAGACTGACTTTCTCGTTGTGCTTCATCTTGAAGAAACTCCAGTTTTCATGTTAAAATCTTCAATTGAAATGACAATTTGTGGTTGGTCACACATGTTAAATTCTACGTGCCAAGTAACATTACAAGCGAATTATTTCAATGAGAATGCTCAAGAATGGGAACCATTCGTAGATCCGGTTGTTGTTAACGAATGTGAGTATAAACCATGGGAAATAATGATAAAGGTATTTCAAGATAGAGCAATGCCAATAATAACTTGTCCTGAAATTAGGATGCAAAAAGATACAAACAAAAATCAGAAAAGAAATCTGGAATCTTTCAGCGGCGATGAAGATTCAGACGAAGAGATGGTCTACATGGAACCACCTACAACGTTAAGAAATAATCAAAAACGTAGAATAACTACCAGTTTATCTTCATTACTTCAGGAATCTGACTCTGAAACCGAAGAAGGATCTAATGACAAACTTATGTCTGCCATATCAGATCTTTTCACTGGGTAAGTTTGTGGAAATTGTAATAACCAATTACAACATCATGGAACTCCCGTAGAGATTGGAACGAAAGCGAAGCGAGCTCGGTAGAACAATCATCCAGTGACGAAGATGAAAATTTTGATGAGGATTCGACTTCTCATTCTAAAAGTAACAAAGTTGAAACAGATGCTGATTTCTTCGAAAAAGCAACATACGTCATACTTGATGGAAAGGAAACGCTGAACATCACAATAACACCTTCCTTATTGAAGGTTATTAAAGATTTAAATATCTCTTATTTTGGAAAGACTCTCTCAATGATACATAACAAGAGCAGTATAAACATAGTTAATGAAATTGGCCCTAATACAAAAATAGAATTGCTTCGAAGAAACAGCAAGGACAATAGCGAAGAATATGTGCTACTTGATTCCAAGACGTATGAGAGTCAAGATTCATATCCTAGTAGCCCAACGAGAGAAAACTGCGATATTTCAACTAAAGAAAGGTATTTAAATTAATAAATGTTATTATATAGTTTTTATTATTATACAATCGAATATCTCTGATATTGATAGTGATGAACTTGCAAAAATGGATGCCGACCTTTGCTGTAGTTTCGAGATTGCCGAATGTTTCGATTTTCCTCCTCAAACAACTGCAACTTTATATGAAAGTGCACAACGTCATTTTTTGAAAGTCTATGTACCTGGATTTTTACCAATGCAAACCAATTGTCCAAAACGCGCATGGGAAAAATTAATCAGTTTGCAATCCGTTTCTAATCCAGAAATGTATTATTTGGTTGCTAAGCATACCGTTGGGAAAATAAAAACTATTACAGTTAGTTCCCCTCTTGAAGTAAGTTATTCTCATTGATAGCATGATTAGATGGAATAATGAAAATCAAAAACCATTTTAGATACGAAATGAAACATGTTTTGCTATGAGTGTTTTCTACGAGCCAGCCATCCTCCAGAAATTAAATTTGGAGCCCATTGGATACATGAAAAACCCCTTTGAACCTACAATGCGAATGGCAGTACTAGAACCCCATGAACAGTTCCATGTTCCTCTTTTTATAGCATTTCATTGCAAATTATTTATTCAACCGGCATATGCAGAGTAAGAACAGATAAATTTTTAATATCTAATATCGCTTGCCTATTGAAGAACAATCTTTGAAGCGAGAGCGAAGGAGAAGTCGGCAACCACTAAAAGTAAATTTTTGCCGGTGCCGCGAGCTGCTGCCAGTCACCACCGAAATTAACTGTTTTTAATCGTATTTTTCTGGTGCACTTAGTAAAACTACTTAGTAAGATTAAGCGCAAGGGCATCGCCAGCCGATGGGTCGGTTGAGATAGGGGGCGGGGCAAGATAGTAGAAACTACAATTTTTAGTTTTGATTCCCAAAGTGAATTTAGTGAACTTTATTAAAAATTAATTGTCAGTTGTCAAAACCACATTTGGAGTTTTCTCATCATAAGGTCGTTAGTCCTAAGACTAGTTNCAAAAACATAAGAAATTTCCGTTGGTATTGCAGGCAAATTGGAAAATAATGGTCTGTAATAAAGCCTTCATTATTATTCTGAGGAATTTCATTTTAATTCCATCTCGTCAAGTCTTTAATATAAAGTTCTTCTAAAAATAAGTTCAAGAATCAATTTACTTTTCTGTTTACTTCTAGTTCAGTATTGATTTAAACTAAAATAACCTTGAATTTAGAAAGTACCTATTTAAATTTCTCTACCCCACGCGACGTTAAGCTTAGACAGTATCTTAGTTATGGAAATGTACGAAAGATTTCATGATACGGATCAATAAGATCAAAATCGCTATCCAGGTAAGGAGTTTCGATAAGTTACTGACGAAGAATTTAATGTTCTTTAATAATTTGGTTACTTGTACATTACGTATATAGGTAACGCAAAGAGTTCATTTCTTTGTGGCCATATCTATTTGAAAATCTCACCTACTTCTCTGAAAACTGTCCTAAACTAGCCCAACTTTCAAAATCTTTTGAATAAAGCGGAACATCTCTCAAAATTTGACCAGCCTTAGATACATTAGTAAGGACCTTGTCTAACATATAAAATACTTCAGTAAGCGGCAGATATCAGTAGATTACGATATATGTATTGCCATAACTAGATATTGTATCAACTCGCTTTTAAGCAGTTCTTTCGGTCTCGTCGGTAATTTATCGAGACTGGCTGAGGCGTGCTGATGGGAACTAGGGAATATGATCGAAACCGCGATCTGCGTTCAACTGCTTCTATAAATTATTTACCAAGAACTTGTACTATCTTCAACCTTTAAAACATTTTCAACATTTTAGTACGAGTTGGAACTACCCATAGAAGTAGTAATGGGTACTATTGGAAAAATATGGTTGCAAATACCATGGAACCGTTTATGGTCGCAACCGGTTGTCGTGAATATAGAAAACATTCATATTCTGGCTAAACCAATAGTCAGGTTTGAGAAGTACGATTCGGAAAAAGACAAGAGGCTTTTGAGGGCGTTTAAAAGGAGAGCGTTAGGAAAACTCGACAGCGAAGGATTTAATATAGGAGGACCGCAGTCCTTCGCGGAACATTTAGTTGCAAACATTGTAAACAATATGCAAATTACATTAACCAATATACATATTAGATATGAGGATACGGTTAGCGTCGAATATCCAATCGCTTGCGGATTTTGTATTGGCAGCATTTCTGCAGAACCTACCAATAGGTAAAGTAGAAATTGATTTCGATCTACTTCCAAATATATGTAATATGACTCGCCACTTTCCCTCTCTATATAGTGTATTTATCCCTATAGATATAAAAAGTATACTCTGATAACATTTTCTGACCCAAGGAACTCACTTTTTAAAAAGGACATTCCTAAAGGTGTCGCTAAAAATTAAAGATGATATTTATAAAAATTGTAAGTTACATAAGGCCTGCATTCCGAAGGCTGATTGGACACACACCTTTACTTGTTCCTACCTTGAACCAATCTTCGCATTTCTCAAATAGTAAGGATAACTACATCTCTAACGATTTACGAAATGTGTTTATTTTTTCAATATGCTTCTAAATAGCGTCCATGCCCGAGGTATCTGACCAACCCATCTAGTCTATGTACTTCTTCATTTTTAACCTCTTCTATCCACGGCATTTTTGAAGATTGTTCCAAAACATTAAATATTCTTAAAAATTATTGAGGATTCTTTAAAGTATGCTAGTAAATAATTAGATAGGCTTCTTACTATCTCAAGAGTAGATAAATTTTTATACATAAAAAAAAAGTAATTGGAAATTGGAAAAGAGTGTCATTCAAAGGAAACGTACTAAACCTCTTTCTGACGTGGTTGAGGTAGTAGCGTGTAAATGTGATGATAGAAGTATATGCGAGCAAAGCCATGATCATAAATCACTTTTGAAAAGATATGACGCTTTTAGAATAATTTTACAACTGTATTGCAGTAAGTGGAAAGCTTGTAAAGTAAATGAATCTTCTACAACGTGCTACTATCTGGTAAAAGTAGAAGCGTTATATACATATTGGAACGTTAATATTACGCCTCCTGATTGGAATTTTCCTTCTGATTATTACACGTGGAGGAACAGTATGGCAAGCAGTATGCAGAATTTTTCTTTCAACGGCGAAGATTTTGATTTTGGTAAGAAAATGCGTAGATATAAACGTTGGTTATTGTTTCCAATTTCCTTAATGTTGAGCAGTTTTGAAACCAATGACATTAAAAATGAAAATGACAATAAACAAATCCGAAACGGGTAACATTACGAAAATCAACAGCGACATGGTCGTCCACGACTGCAGCATCCAAATATCAAAAGATCAGTATTATTCAATTCTCGAAACTCACAAGTCACTTTCAAGAATGTTGATTAGCTGGAATTATTTGAGTCTAAGGCCGTCGCAAGCTGTTTTGAAAAACAAGAAGGCTTGGTGGAGATACGCCTGTCAGGCGTTATTAGAGCAACGAATTAGGCCATACACGTGGACGAGGGTAAAGAATGTCAGAGAACATTACAAAAAGTACATTGAAGCGTACAAAGTCATACTGATGAATCCTAATGATACCGAGCTCAAACTTGATCTTCAAAAACACGAAGATAATTTAACGTTACTAACAATCGTTATAGCACGGCAACAAGCTAAACGTAAGGTGAGATTTATTAATTATTAATTAGATTTCGTGCTTATATAACGTTATATAAAATACTATCACGTTAACTTGGGGGTCATCAAGGAAGGTCATATTGGAATGATACTATCAATTACGCATAACATTTGGAAATATACTACGTTGATTTTTCTGAAAAACTTTTACGAAAATCTTCATGCTATCATCGTCATAAGGTCGTCAGTCTTAAGACTGGTTGTACACGCACCTCTACTCTTTCCTATCATGCGCTAATCTTCGCATTTCACTAAAACTAGAACAACCCACATCTTTAACTATTTGCGAATAGTAATCTAATCTAGGTCTACCTCTACCCCTCCTAACTCCTGTTTCTGCCTCTAATATGTCTCTGACTAGACCTTCATGCCTGAGGAGGTGCCCCATCAATCTATCTCGCTTATTTCTTATAGTCCTCTCTACTCATATTCATTCTAATACCTCTTCATTTCTAACCTTCTCTATCCACAGTATCCTAATTAACACTACATTTCGAACGCTTCTAACCTTTTCCTTTCAGCCGCGCCCACCTTCCTTCGTATACCAGTATTTTTGTCTTACTTATATTTAAATTGATCTTCCCCTAATAAGTTAAGCTAATTGTTCTAAATGTCTCGTACCTATCCGCGCCTCTCTTTTTAGGTATGGTTACTACCACGTTTCGTTTATAATCCTCTGGAACTTTCCCCGTCTCGTAAATCTGACTAGTTTAAACACACGATCTCTAACCTCTTGTCCTGCATGTTTTAGAATTTCCCTTTGTATCACATTTACACCTGGCGCCTTCTTATTCTTTAAGATTTTTAATGCTACATCGAACTCTTCTCTCATTATGGAATAATCTACCTCATCTATCTCCACACTATCTTCCTTCTCTAATATATCTCCTAATTCAAGGTCTGTGTATAGGTTCTCTAAATATTCTTTCCACCTATCTGCCTTTTCCTAATTTTCTATCAAAATGACCCTTGTCTCGTTTCTTACATTATTACTACTGTATCCTAGATCTATAAAACTTCCTAATTATTTCTTCAAGCTAATTGAAAATTAATTAAATTCTGTTTTGTTTTACATAACGCTAATGGGTGGACCCTTCCAAGGTTAACATGCAATCAGATAAATTATTTACGATATTAAGAAGTTAATTATTTAATGCCTGACCCATATTATTCAACTCTTAATTTTATTTTTGTAGTTTTCATTTAAAAATATACACATTTTCTGTTTTTTTGCATAATCGATTTAACTAACTTTTCCGGTTTTGTTAAATCTTGTGTGTTGTGTATATAATCAATAACGACGCTTTACTGTAAGTAAAACCATGTTTCAGGTGGAATTGTTTAGTTTAACGGATAAGAGTCTTTGGGTACTACTGCCCTCTCCAGAAAAATCAATTTTATGTGAGAAAATCGGATTTTCCAGCAAATTTTCCAACAAAAAGGAAATCACAATAGGTAAAAAGTACATCATTCTACTGAATTATTAAAACCAACATTTTTTCATATATTATAGAACATAAATATCAATTTAGGATGGGAAATTTGTGCGTGTCATTTTTAAATCCAAAAAGAATTGAAATTCTGATGATCACTTTAACTCAAATTATTGCTACTTTTGTACCATGCCTTAAGGATGATACGTACAATTTATCTCTAAAAATGGAAGGTATAGTTGTTGAAGGAGCTAATGCTAACGAACATCTGACACCTGTGCTCTATTCCGAACATGCTCCCGATAGTCCTGCGTATTTCTTTAAGCTAGATTTGGAGAAAAAACCAAACTCTTACAATTGTACCTACAAACTAACATCTAGCTTAAGTACAATAGAAGTTGTTTACGATATGGCAAGTTGATGAAAAAAACCAATGAAACAGTTTAGGACAAATTTCATTTCCTTTTTTAGTTTGCAATGAAAAAGATAAATAATTATTTAGGAATGAATTGCGTTACTGTCGAGAGTATGCTGGAAATAATGCTGGTCAAGCTATTTCAAATAGTTTGTCGAAAAATAAACGAAAAGGTGAATGATTTTTGGGATATAAATTTGAACTTAAAGGTGCCTATCTTTATCATCCCAGAGGATGGCAACATTGCAGGGTAAATTGTTGCTTTTATATGTGGATATTATGCGTAAAATAATCACCGGATATTTTTAGGAACAGTAGTCTTTTGATATTAGATTTAGGGAGAATAGAAGTCACCACCGAATTATGGAAAAGAAATGACGTCCTTGAATTTGCCACTCAAATGGAAATGGAGGAGCAACTATATTCCCGCTTACACATTAAGTGTTCCGACATTCAAGTCCTTTTCGGAAATTCAAAAGACAACTGGAAGGAATCAATGAAAGAGAAGGACACTGAATTGCATATTTTGCCAAAGACAAAAATTTCAGCTTTTTACGCGTTACGCGTCCGAGACGTTTCGAACATACCAAGGTATTCCTCACACAAAGACACCGAAATTGCTTCACAAATATATACAATAATACTTTGCAGGTACAAATTTAGCTCTGCTTTTGAAAACTTTAAAATAAATATCAGAGAAAAAAGGCTAGAGCAGATTTTCGACTACTTTGATTCATTACTAGAGAGTAAGAGGAACGAAATTCCTCAGAATAGAGCATCGAGGTGGTTGAATGACACTATTTTCACTAGAAATTCTTATTCTTATCATTGCCATGTATTATCTATTATCAAAAAGTCAACCGGATTGAGCAAACCGAAATCTAAAGACAATTCCTCCTCGACGTCTTCAACTAACCAAGATAAGAAAAGGTACGTGAATTTCAAATAAACAATGGTTAACTTCTATGAAACGATGGCTAATGTTGCTTTTAACTGGAATGTGGCTCTTTTACAGAAATGTGGAAATGCCAAAGCAGGATATGAATGAAGCATTTGCAAGAGTAATAGATTTGCCAGGACTTGAAGACAATATTTCCCCCAACAATACAATTCGAACTCTTCTCAGGTTTAGCTTTAACGAGGTAACACTAATTTTACGAGGTTAAACAATTATTTTTCGTTAAGCTACGTCAACTTTTGTTAAATAAATATTTATATTTGCGTCACTAATTATAGTTCAATTAATAGTTTACGTTGACAGTATTCCGATCAAATGCAGCAACAGACAAGCAGTACCTTATTCTTCGACTTCATGAAGTCACTGTTGACTTGGCCTACATGACTTATGGTCCAGCTTATCAGGTTTCGGTGAGAAGTATTTGTTTAACAGACAAATGCCACACTACTTGTAGTGGTCAGTATTTAGATCTCATTCATAGTCCTTTTCCGAGTAAAGAAGACATTTTTGTTCTACTTTATAGAAGGGTGAGTTGCTTAAGTCCAAAATACTATCGCTTATTCATTTTGGCGATAAATTTTTGTAGGTAGATGCAAAATGCCCAGACTTCTGGACACATTTTCATGGGGTGGAAACATCCCTCGTTGCGGATTTTGACACTGTCCATTTAACTCTTCATCAGGAAGCGACTGAAAATCTTTTAAAATATACAAAATATCTGTGTTATACGTAAGCATTTGCATTTTGAAAAGAAGTGAATTTCAAAATAATCAGCTGTTTTTTCAGCATTTGCAGTAAACTTTCTGGATTATTAATCCCTTCGGTCAAAAATACTTGGGCGAAGATAAAAGCGTCGTTTTCGGACTCTCGTAAGAATACTCCTGTTCCTCCTGGAGCTGTTAAATACTCACAATCAGGTCGACTCAATATAATGGACATAAAAGTATGCGCCTCCGATTTTGACATTATGGGCATTCAGATATCTGGACTGGAAGTTGATTTGCTCTTTCGGGCAAACGAACGATTTGTGTTTAAGTCTTTCCTGAGACATATTTCTGTAGACCATTTGTCTGAAGTAACACTTTATCCAAAAGTGAGTTTCCTATTCATTCGCTTCGCTTATTTAACATTTGGTACGTTTTAAAACTGAATTTGGACGTAGATTTTGACAACTGATGGTGAAAAGGTGTATGAAGTAAAGTATGTCCAAAATGCAACCCACATAGTGGAGCAAAATCAAGGGAATGAGGACAAAATTGTCACCAATGGAACCTTCAAGTTTTATTTGGGACGACTACATATAACATTCCTTTATAAACTAATTGTGCAGTTCCAGGTGCAGACTCCAATATTTTGTTTCCTTCAGAAATTAATTCCAAATATTGTAGCGCTTTCTTCTGGGAATGGAAATGATTTCTTGCGTGGAGAGTCTATATGAAATTTTCTCAAGGAACATTTCCAAAATAACAGAAACCTTAAAACCAAATTCCAAAATACATCTTGCTATAAATCTACAAGGTCCGGTTATTTTATTTCCTCAAAAATCCGATTCTCCTAATGTAATTATCGTTGACACAGGCAAGTAGAGTGGAATAATTAATTACAAAGCTTATTAATTATTTGTTATTTCCCACTTAGGCGAATTACATTTAGAAAATTTCTTCAAGAGGTACTCAAACGATGTTGTTGATAATATTCTTGTTAAACTTGATCAGATATGCTTATCAAGAGCTGTAATGGGTTTAACGGCAAACATAGAAATGCAGGCAAGTTAGATAAAAAATACGATCAATTTGAAGAACTTTAATGCATATATATTTATTTAGGAAACAATGTTGGAGCCGCTTGGATTAAATTTGGATGTAAAAAGCTACGTATCTCAATCCAATTCTCTTAAAACGAATATATCCTGGGAAGTAGATGGAAACTTGGACGTAATTCAGATAAACGTAGGACAGAGAGATTTGTCAACACTAATAGCCTGTTACACAGACAACATAGGTGAAGGAAAGCTTTTGAACTTGCTCCCTGAAAAGAAGAAGGTCCCAATTAAAGAGGATGAATCCTTAGAAGCCGTTAAGAAATTAGAGTCCTTTTTTTGCAAACCGAAACAGAAAGACATTTCGTTGAAATTTTCATTGGATGGCTTACATGTAACGTTATTTTTCGATCCTAGTGAATTATTAAGCTCGCCAATTAGGGATTTAAATCATGGATTTTGTAAAATTGAATTAGCCGAAATTGCTCTGTATGTTGTGGTTTACACGGACAAAACTTTGGAGGGAAAGTTTAATGCTGAGATGATTACAATAGAAGAATTAGGACCAGACGTAAACACATGTAATAAATAGTAAGTTATAGTGAATATAAAAATTATAATTTTGCTTCATTTTCTAATTCTTCTAATTTTTTTGAACAACTGGAAGCAGAAGCCGCTATCTTATTTCTTAATACTTTTTTTCAGTATCTTACAGTCAACTGCGGAAGACAGTGCGAATAACAATGCCAAAGTAACAATAAATAAACCGCCTGTCATAGATATAACATTTACTCAAAACAAATCCAATGACAAGTCTGTAGATACAATAATTGGAAGTTTAAGTTTAAGTCTGTCCGTGCCTTTCTGTGAAAAAATTGCAATATTCATCTTGGAATCGTTACCAAAAGAAAATACAGATTTGGGTATTGTAAACCATGGTTACATAAGTGATCATTCAGAACAAGAACCAACGGTCAACTGTACCTCCAGTTTAACTGTAGCTTTACGAATAAATAAACCAGAATTCATTTTTGTTATTGAAAGCACTTCCAAGAAACAGAAATATTTTATTACGAGATCGGAAGTTTTACTGGATTATTCTAGACATAATAATACTTTAAATTTGGTTTTGTCTCTTTCTGGAATACATACTCTATTTTACGACTCTGGATTAAGCTATTCTGATTCTTACGTAGTCTTGAAGAGGTGTGAAATTGAATTAGCGAGAAATTATTCCGAAGATAAAGGAGAGAAAATTTCATTATCAGTATCGCCTATACAAATTCATATATGTGATAGAGTTGTCCATTCTATTACCGACATTCTTCACGATATCGCGGAACATTTTAGAGTTCCTGATCAAACATCTCGAAAGTCCTCAAGGGCTGGGAAAAGGTTTTCACAAAAATCATTTGAACATGACGATTTATGGGAATCAAAGAAATTACCCGAAACCCAGGACGAGCTAAAGAATATTTATGTAAATCCTAAACCACCTGTTCATAAAATCCATCAAGTATTTCTGATGTCCAAGACTGACTTTCTCGTTGTGCTTCATCTTGAAGAAACTCCAGTTTTCATGTTAAAATCTTCAATTGAAATGACAATTTGTGGTTGGTCACACATGTTAAATTCTACGTGCCAAGTAACATTACAAGCGAATTATTTCAATGAGAATGCTCAAGAATGGGAACCATTCGTAGATCCGGTTGTTGTTAACGAATGTGAGTATAAACCATGGGAAATAATGATAAAGGTATTTCAAGATAGAGCAATGCCAATAATAACTTGTCCTGAAATTAGGATGCAAAAAGATACAAACAAAAATCAGAAAAGAAATCTGGAATCTTTCAGCGGCGATGAAGATTCAGACGAAGAGATGGTCTACATGGAACCACCTACAACGTTAAGAAATAATCAAAAACGTAGAATAACTACCAGTTTATCTTCATTACTTCAGGAATCTGACTCTGAAACCGAAGAAGGATCTAATGACAAACTTATGTCTGCCATATCAGATCTTTTCACGGGGTAAGTTTGTGGAAATTGTAATAACCAATTACAACATCATGGAACTCCCGTAGAGATTGGAACGAAAGCGAAGCGAGCTCGGTAGAACAATCATCCAGTGACGAAGATGAAAATTTTGATGAGGATTCGACTTCTCATTCTAAAAGTAACAAAGTTGAAACAGATGCTGATTTCTTCGAAAAAGCAACATACGTCATACTTGATGGAAAGGAAACGCTGAACATCACAATAACACCTTCCTTATTGAAGGTTATTAAAGATTTAAATATCTCTTATTTTGGAAAGACTCTCTCAATGATACATAACAAGAGCAGTATAAACATAGTTAATGAAATTGGCCCTAATACAAAAATAGAATTGCTTCGAAGAAACAGCAAGGACAATAGCGAAGAATATGTGCTACTTGATTCCAAGACGTATGAGAGTCAAGATTCATATCCTAGTAGCCCAACGAGAGAAAACTGCGATATTTCAACTAAAGAAAGGTATTTAAATTAATAAATGTTATTATATAGTTTTTATTATTATACAATCGAATATCTCTGATATTGATAGTGATGAACTTGCAAAAATGGATGCCGACCTTTGCTGTAGTTTCGAGATTGCCGAATGTTTCGATTTTCCTCCTCAAACAACTGCAACTTTATATGAAAGTGCACAACGTCATTTTTTGAAAGTCTATGTACCTGGATTTTTACCAATGCAAACCAATTGTCCAAAACGCGCATGGGAAAAATTAATCAGTTTGCAATCCGTTTCTAATCCAGAAATGTATTATTTGGTTGCTAAGCATACCGTTGGGAAAATAAAAACTATTACAGTTAGTTCCCCTCTTGAAGTAAGTTATTCTCATTGATAGCATGATTAGATGGAATAATGAAAATCAAAAACCATTTTAGATACGAAATGAAACATGTTTTGCTATGAGTGTTTTCTACGAGCCAGCCATCCTCCAGAAATTAAATTTGGAGCCCATTGGATACATGAAAAACCCCTTTGAACCTACAATGCGAATGGCAGTACTAGAACCCCATGAACAGTTCCATGTTCCTCTTTTTATAGCATTTCATTGCAAATTATTTATTCAACCGGCATATGCAGAGTAAGAACAGATAAATTTTTAATATCTAATATCGCTTGCCTATTGAAGAACAATCTTTGAAGCGAGAGCGAAGGAGAAGTCGGCAACCACTAAAAGTAAATTTTTGCCGGTGCCGCGAGCTGCTGCCAGTCACCACCGAAATTAACTGTTTTTAATCGTATTTTTCTGGTGCACTTAGTAAAACTACTTAGTAAGATTAAGCGCAAGGGCATCGCCAGCCGATGGGTCGGTTGAGATAGGGGGCGGGGCAAGATAGTAGAAACTACAATTTTTAGTTTTGATTCCCAAAGTGAATTTAGTGAACTTTATTAAAAATTAATTGTCAGTTGTCAAAACCACATTTGGAGTTTTCTCATCATAAGGTCGTTAGTCCTAAGACTAGTTGGATACGCACCTCCACTATTTCCTATCCTGAGCTAAACTTCGCATTTCCCTAAAACTATAACATCCCACATCTTTAACTATTTGTGAACAATAATCTAATTTAGGTCCACCTGCGGTCATCGTGAACTCCTGTTTCTGCTTCTAATGTCTCTGACTAACCCTTCATGCCTGAGAAGATGTCCTACCAACCTATCTCGCCTATTTCTTATTTACTTTCATGTAGTCCTCTGTTCTCCTATTCTTTTTAAAACCTCTTCCAACCTTCTCTATCCACGGTATCCTCTTCATTCGCCTTTAACACCACATTTCGAACGCTTTTAACCTTTTCCGTTCGTACCTGTATAACTCCGCGCTCCGGACATACAGTTTTGACCATCTAACATTAGAAGTTTATAAATTTCTATTAATTCCATATTACAAGGACGGAGGGGTCTACGCAAAAGACAAAAAAATTAACACGTAGTCAGGCAAAACAGTATATCGACGTACACTAACGTGCACACTACATGGAATCGTATTCACATTTGACCAAATTATTCCTCCCTTATCTCCTCACATCCCCTTGGCGATACCATTGCTACAGCCTGCACAAATTTCAAGTCTTAATATGTATCAGTACCGGAGTTATTTATTCTTGAAGAAACTTGCAAATTTTTTTTACCGAAACATCTTTTTTACATGAATTCAACTTTCCTTTCGAAATACGTAAACCCGTTTTTTTTTTTTCGTTAAGGTGTAGTTTGTCTAAGGGTAAAACCTATTTCTCCTATACTATCTGGCCAAAGTTGTGTAATCGAATAAATTCTGTCAAACGTTACTATTGTTTTCTTGTCCTGTTAATTGATTTATCACAGAAAGATCAAAAATTATTTTTCAGAACTTATTACGTTTCCGATGAAGGGTTGTATTGGAAAACCTTGGCAACCGAATTTGATACACCTAACTACATTGTGTGCAAACCCAAAGACAAGACAAATCAAGAAGTTTTCTCTCTTAAGGTTGAATTGGAGAAAAATGTATCTATACGACATTCCTATTCGCAGTCAATTCCAAATTACATAATTCGTCTCCTGCCTCCTTTAGTTTTACAAAATTATTTACCGTACGCTATAGAAGTGCAGAATATCGATCTCAAACAACATTTGAAAATAGAACCTGCAGAATTATCAAGTATTTATTCCGTTGATATGAGTAAAGATCAAAAGTTCCTACTTAAGGTGATACTGCAAGGCACATTATGGTCTGGAGTCGTGAGCATAACGAAAGAATTGGACGAAAAGGTTGTGGCTTTGACGAGCGAGCGAAAATCTAACATGAAACAATTGCTAATTAATGTAAAAGCTAACAAGGGAAATAATATTGTTTACGTATACGTGCCTTATTGGATAATCAATAAGACTGGTTTACCGTTAGAGCTAAAGGTATATATATTCACATAAGTTTATTTTGATGGCGTATCATTATGAAAAATTTTATTGAAGATAAGTGCTACCAATTCAATTTTTAAAAACAGCAAAGGAGATATAACGCTGTTAACATTCAAACCAAACATGAAACGTACAATAACCGTTAAGGTTTATGATTCCAAGTGGTCTAACGATTTTGGACTGGATGCTGCTGGAACTACTGGCTTAATTGTCTGTAAAGATGTACATAGAAGTAAAAGATATTGCTTTATTTTGTCCATTAGCTTGTCTAAAACATGCCCAATGTTGACCAAAATAGTTTATTTCTTACCAACGTTCTTGGTATCCAATAATACCAATAAATTCCTACGGTTAGAAATAGTATACGCTGCAACTGTATATAAATAACCTATCAAAACGATTCATCAATTTGTAGGTTCATGGAAGTAAATGAAAAAACAGATCTTTGGATAGATTTGCCCCCAAACGAAACATTCGTATTTTGGCCTGAAACATCATCCATGCAAATGCAAGTAAAATACAGAGACAGTACTTTCATATCTCAAGCATTTTCAATAACTTCTCGACTATTAACAGTCCTGAGAATGGATAAAGGAGTAAGTTAGTATCAAAAACAGTAATTTTCAATAATTAAACTACTTTTTCTAGAGTGCCTTAACTGTGCTAGTAGAAGGGGGAAAAACCGATCCGTTTTGTATATCATTCCATAAATATCAATCTGGAGATGCCCCCGTTCTAATAAAAAACATGTGTCCTGAGGTCTATCTAAAAATTCAACAATCGGAACAGCCAATAACACATGTCCTAAATCCAAATCACTCTCTACTTTTTACTTGGGATGAACCGTCAAAGTCTAGACAATTAATATGGAATGTTTATAACAATCGAGGGCATGGATTCTTCATTGACATTGAAAAAAATGGGTATGCACCTATTCGTTTCTCTACATTATTACGAGACGTTTTGAACAAAATTTCTCTTTAGATTTGGTGAAGAAAAAATTAATCAAACCTCAAATGGACGACGATTTAGATCGCAACAAAGTTCATCAACGAACGATTCCAGCAACGAAGAATCAGATTCAGTCGAAAGTATTTTGAAATCACCAATTAACAAAACAAGGAAGAACAAGTTCAAAATATATTGGATCTGTTACTACAACGGTACACAAAGAGTGCTGGTTTTCTCTCAACAGAATAGCTTGGTTCAGCAAATTAAAGATACGAATTTTGTGGAAATGTGTCATACTGAATTTTTGCTATCCTTATCTGGCTTAGCAATTTCTGTATTTAGTCAGCACAATCTGAAGAAAGAATTAGCCTGTTTAAGTCTTACCAGTTCCCCGGCAACTTGGGAAGTAAACGTGGGTCACAAATGGAAGACTCTTACGGTAGAATTGGCTTCGTGGATCGAAGATAAGTACAGACTAGGATACAAAAAGTGCCAACTTAAGGATTATATACACATCGATTTCGAAAAGATGTTTATGTTGAAACCATTTTTAGCCGAACTACGCCGATCTCACAACTCCGCTGTATATCTCCAACATAGAAAATCAAAAATTAACCAACAAGTGAATTTGCTCTTAAACTTTTTACAAATTGACAATAAATATTCCAGTTCAGTAATTCTTCGACCAATGCCGGCAGGAAATTTGAAAAACGTAATGCCTTTCGTAGAATTATCTTGCGTTTTCAGTTTCAACAAAGATTGTTGGATAATAAAAGACTTCAGGGCAAATATGCAACAGTTCTCGTGTAGTATCGAAAACCATTTTAATATGAGATTAGGAGAATTATTTACGGAAAATTGGAAAATTTCAGAAGACGTATCAAAATGTTACATAGATGATATAAAAGAAATACGAAAACCAGTTGAAAACTACTTGAAGGTAATCCAGAATAATTACATATTAAATATTATTGGGGATTTTTATAGTAATAAATGTGGTTGCTTCTAGGAAAAGTATGACAAAAAAATAGTTATTGAAAGTATGAAAATTTCGGATATATTTATTCAGATAAATTTTGCAAATAGACCAGAAGAACCTTTAAGATGCATTCATCTCCCATTTGCCAAATTTCTAAGTTACACTGCTCCATTACAACTGTTACCTTTTGTACCGGCTCAAAATGTTCAGCACAGGTTCGATTACCCATATCTTCGATTTTTTTGAAATTAAATACATACATTTTCAGAATTGCATACTACGAATGTTCCAATATTCGAAAGAGTTTCCAACAACTTGTGAACGAAGTATGGCAAAATTTCAAGTGTCAATTTTTGCAACAATTCTACGTCCACGTATTAGGAATACAGGTTTTGATAAACCCTTACGCATTTCCAATAATTTCGTCTCCAAGTGTAAGTAGTGGGATGTCATACTGACATTCGATAGCAACAAAATGTCAACCTAAACTATCAAAAGTTGTTTAACTTATACGGGGGTTTTCTCTCTATTGTCTTTTGTTTTTTCATACTCACGAATTTTGTCAAAATGCTTTTCATAGAAAAGATTCATGGCAAGAGGTTAGACTTTGTTTTCATTGAAATAGGTTGGAATGAAAATAGTTTATTTTAATTAATCTAATGAATGATGAGCACCGACAATATTCAGTATAAATAAATAGGCAATAAATCATCATCATCATCATAAGATCGTCAGTCCTAAGACTGGTTGGACACGCACCTCCACTCTTTCCTATCCTGAGCTAATCTTCGCATTTCCCTAAAACTAGAATAACCCAAATCCTTAACTATTTGCGAACAGTAATTTAATCTAAGTCTACCTCACCCCATTCTCCCGATTCTGCTTTTAATATGTCTCTGACTATACTTTCATGCCTAAGAAGGTCTCCCACCAACCTATCTCGCCTATTTCTTATTGACTTCTATAGAGTTCTCTGTTCTTCTATTCTTTTTAATACCTCTTCATTTCTAACCTTATCTATCCACGGTATACTCATCATTCGCCTGTAACACCACATTTCGAACGCTTCCTACCATTTCTTTTCCGCAGCGCTCACCGTCCACGTTTTGCACCCCTACAGCACCGCGCTCCAAACATACCCCTTTAACAACCTTTCTCGAATTTCTAAATTAATCGTTCGCGAGCGTAGAAATGACTTCTTTTTATTGAAGGCGACACGACCCTGCGCTATCCTCTGCTTTATATCCCTACTACTCCTTTCGTCCTGACTTATCTGACTTCCTAGATACCTCAAATCAGCCACTTCTTCTAATATTTGGTCTCCTATATTTACATTTGCTCTTTTCCTACTTTTTCTTCCCTTGCATACCAGTATTTTTGTTTTAATTTTATTTGTACCACTTCTTTCTTACTTAAAGCCATCTCTAACTCCTCCTTGCTATATCATCTGCAAATCTAAGCATACTAATCTGTTGCCCCTGTATATCTATCCCTACAGTTGTAGTGTCTTTAATGATGTTGATTACGTCTTCAATGTATAAATTAAAAAGTAGCAGTGTGCATCATCCCTGTCTGACTCCCTTCGTAAGGCAATAAATATCATAATAAAAATTAAATTTTCTTATAGATTAGGTCTTTAGAAGATGTGGTCCCCACAGCACAACTAAACGGTTACCGTTGCTTATTAGGGCATTTAAATATGTCCACGGCGGCCCTTGAGCAAATGATATCCAATGTTTTTTCAAATCAAATGTTAGATAATATCTACAGACTTGGGAGACACGGATCTTACCAGAAGAATTATTTCGTCCCGACTGCCGTACTAGATGGTTATCGTAACTTCCATATTGGAGTGACGCTAGCTTTAGAGCAACTTATAATTAAAAACAACAGAGGTGTATAACCATAAAAACATCGGTACCTTTCATTTCTTAATTTCAATATTTATAGGTGTTTTATACGATGGCGAGACATTTTTTAAAAGTACCGGAAAAGCTTTACTATCGTTGATAACTCGACATCCGGACGATAAATCTAACAGTATAGTAATTGCTACTGAAGCCCTGCACAGAGCGGCACTTTTGAATGAACCAATACATATTCAGCAAAGGCTTACGCGATATTGTAACATTTATATGGTAATACCATCAATATTTCAATTAAATAACATAAATGCGATATGCGCAAAGAGTGAGCATATTTTAATTGAAAGTACATTTATTTTGAAGGGTCTGAAACCATTTTCTGGCTATGAATCTGTTGGAAACTACTTAACGGAAACTATTCAAAATGGTCGATTTGCAGGGGACGTATATTGGGCCTACGCGGCGCTAAACAAAAATACTAAATCAATAGTAATAGTGACGCTACAGTAAGTATTTAAAAATATATATATTTTTACTGTAAATATAATGAGAGGTTGCGTTTACGTCATCAACATATTCTATACGATCCAATCCATCATCATGGCAACGCCCGAAAAATGGGTTGGGACATGAAGATTTTTTAAATTACATATTTGGAATCTATTCATATGACATTTTTTTTCTGAGGTCCATTTGAGACCACTGTAGCGTTTCGAAAACCGCTGGGATCCAAAAGTTCAGAAAGTTTTTATTACTTTGAAGGAGGGCGTGACGTCACTATACTGTAATAGATTGCGAGTACTCGTTACGACTACTGCAGTATTTTCATAGTCATTGATAATCAAATATAACTATTTTAGGTAAATTACGAGAATTCAGAGTTAAAATAATCGAATAATTATCGCTTATCACAACATTTACTAACGGTCAATAGGTAAAGGTAACATTACGTAACTTTCTTAGATAGATAGTAATATTAGAGATGAAAATACTTGTATTTTAATTTCCAAATATAAGAAATATTGTAGATATTTTGGGCGTTTTGTAGATATGTAAAAAATTAACTCACCTAGTTCAAAAAAAATGATTTAAATATACCTTCTATTTGACAGTCTAACGTTAGGGTTCCTTCAAGATGTGATGGATAATTTTTGTAGAAATTTAACAAATACTGTATCTAAGCTAACAATAAACAAATAAGGAACATTCTTCATAATAATACTACAACAAATATCTAATAAATATTCAATGCAACACAATCAAGCGGTTGATAGCCGACCACTAGACTCTGGCTAAATGTAGATATTGTAACTGTAAGTCTCTACAGTTCTGACGTCACGCTATCGACCGGCTTGAGAATTTATTTTTCTCACTTATTTTTAACGAAAAGATGATGGGAAAACAATTTTTTCAACGATATGATTGCTCTTGCTGTCTAATCTCTATAAGAAAAGTTGTTTTACCCTGATTTTTGATATCATGTCCCAACTCAATTGTAGGCCATACTGTTTTAAGAACAGACTCCATGTTAGTCAGTAACGTAAGTTATAACCACCTCTGTATGGTACGTAAATACCATCATCTAGCTTATTAATATGAGGCAATACGAAATTTCTCAAAATTACTTTTGAGAAAATTCGAAGTTAACAATTTTGATTTTCAATAGGCACTTAATTAAAATTAACAAATGTCGTTTGTGGGGTCCATGGGAAGTTGATTGGTGTTTGGAATTGGACGATGTTATTTCTGTTCCTAAAATTACTGAAAACTGTATGCTGTTAAATGTTAAAAAGGTAATATATACTTTTTTGGCTAGTAATATTAACATGTCTAGTGTAGGTACAGAATAGATCGATCTATATAGACGTCTTCCTATAGCAACTAAGTTATAAATAGAAACTGGAGTAAAATTAACCACCAAATTACAAACTAATTTTGCAAAACCGACTTAACTATAGATATACACTAATGTTCAATTTTACCCATTTGTGATTCAACTCTTCATCTTAAGATGCTTTATTTGGGCAGAAAAATTTTTCATGCAATCATTGAACATTTTCGACAAAGTAGTATTTTTTTAAATGGTAACTGAAACTCATCTTAAAAGGGGCAATTTTAATTTAAATTCAATATGTAACACGGTACCCAAAGTAAATGTTTGTCCCTGGGTCAAAGCCTTTTACCGCTTTTCCTATTTTCGTAGTTAAGATATTTTATTTAAATGGATTAGAATTGAAAAGGTGTACACAAAAACTTGTACTTCCATTTAGCGTTTGAGGAGACAAGTAATATTTATTATTAGTGTAAATTGAAAATGTATGGACCCAATTAAATAAGTTTTATTCAGACGACTTATACGTATAGGTACATATATATATACGAGGGTGGATTGATAAGTTTCCGGCCTGACCAAGAAAAACAAGGTTTTTAAAAATTTTTTTTTTTTATTTCTCAACATAATCTCCTCCAAGGCTGATACATTTCTCATAGCGGTGTTCCAGTCTATTAATGCCATCTCTATAGACTGATTCGTCAAGCTCCTCAAAATAACCATTTACAGCTTCGATTACTTCTTCATTGTCCGCAAATCTCTTACCGCCAAGCCATTTTTTGAGATTAGGGAACAGAAAATAGTCACTCGGGGCTAGGTCTGGAGAGTAAGGAGGGTGCGGCATCAATTCAAACTTTAGATCGTTGATTTTAGCCGTCGCAACGATTGACGTGTGCGCTGGTGCGTTATCGTGATGAAACAAGATTTTTTTCTTCGCCAGATGAGGTCGTTTAATTTTCACCTCGTGGCTCAAACGTTGCAATAAGTCTGCGTAGTATTGACCAGTGATAGTATTACCCTTTGCAAGGTAATCAATGTATATAATACCTCTTGCATCCCAAAAAACAGTAGCCATAACCTTGTTCGCCGAAAAAATTGTTTTTGCCTTCTTTGGAGTTGGTTCCCCTGGTCCAATCCACTGTTTAGACTGTTCTTTGGTTTCAGGAGTGTAGTGGTGGACCCACGTTTCGTCAACGGTTACGAATCGACGCAAAAATTCGCTTGGATTACGCTTATACAATGACAAATTTGCGGTAGAAATGTTTTTTCGAATCAATTTTTGGTCGACTGTTAGCAAACGCGGCACCCATCTTGCACAGAGCTTTTCCATATGCAAATGTTGGTGCAAAATATGTTGCACACGTTCATATGACATCTTACAGGTCTCAGCTATCTCACGCACTTTCAATCTGCGGTCTCCCAGCACTATTTGATGAATTTTTTCGATCATATCTGGAGTTGTGACCTCAACGGGGCGTCCTGAGCGAGGCCCATCAGAGGTGCTCACACGACCCTTTTTAAACTCGGAAACCCACTGCTTAACGGTTGAATATGACGGGGAGGATGTCCCCAGTGTTGAGTCCATCTCTTTTTTAATTTCCTTCGGCGTTAACCCCTTCAAATAAAAGTATTTGATGACAGCACGATTTTCCTGCTTTTCCATTTTTACGAAAACCACAGAGGCGTCTTGTTCAGCGTGCTGTCAAACCTACACTAGCAAGGAGATCGGGCTGAAACTATAGCTACAAGCTATCCAAGGATGGTACTATAGAATGTCACCTCAAGGTAGGCCTAGTGGCGTCATCTCTTGGTTAGGCCGGAAACTTATCAATCCACCCTCGTATATTAGGTAGTGTCCATATTTAATGGAAATCGAAGAGTTTCGCGATTGGTACATCAGCAAAACCTGAAACCCACAGGGTTCACTTCCCAGTATAAAATAATACTAAAAACTTTTTAAGAAATCCCCAAATTTACTTTCTTTCCAGTCTTTTTCTTTAAATAGAAAAGCGAATATTATTAATTTTTCTTCAGATCATATTGTTATTACTATCGATACTTTCAAATTGTGTACCAACGATATGGTAACCTTCAAATTGCAAATTAAGTTGAAAACTACAATTTCGGTTTTCGGGTTCATAACAAAAACGTCCCTGTAACTGGGAACTTAATTTTCAACACTTACTCTATCCAGAGCTCGTGGGTAACAATCGAGTTAATTGTATGCAAGAGAAATTTTGCGCTCTTTTCCATATGATACAAGATTTATAAATTACAACAAAATTATTAATTTCAGTTAAACACGTTAGTTTAGTTAGGAACAACGACGTAAAATAAAGCATGCACCTTTCGAAAGGTCCCACTTAACTTATTTCATTCACACACATTTGCGCCTCTAGGGGTCATAGCTCCCACTGCTCTCCCTTGTTACGCCACTGATGTTGTAATGTTTAATAAGAATACATTCAATATTTATTATAAATATTGATAAATTAGTATTGGAATAATTTAGTTTAAATGTCTGAACAGATCCCAAATCGTTAGACTGTTGAAGGAAAACACATAACGATTTAGGAACACTGTACATAAAATATAAATACCGATATATATGTTTGTGTTTACTACATACATATATATATGTATATATAGTGTGAATTGTTTTATAGGAAGAATATAAATTTGTTAACTCCATGGGAGTATTAGAAATTGATGGGAACAAAGAAGTACTTGTATGGTTAAAAGATAAAATAGAGCAAGCTATGCTCGTAAGTTTAGAAGAAAAATCTTGGTCTATAAATGCAGACAAAAATTAGTATTTTAATAGATGTACATTTATTTTCTTCAAATAAAAACTTATTAACGTGTATAATTCATTCGCAAACTAAATGGTAACATTTTACCAAAATAGTATACGTAAATTGGTTAATAAATAACACGATTTGTCGTATGATCGATTTTCGACCAAAGTACTCAACTTAAAACGAAGTATTACACTTAGAGATGACAAAATACCAAAAAAAAAACCTAGTACATGCATATGTTATTGTAACGATAAATAAAACGGTGCATAAAACACCACGGTAATTAAAATGAAATTATCGTCGGACGAAAAACTGCATTAAATTAGTAGTAAACAAAAAACTTTCAAAATGTAAAACAAAATTTTAAATACCCAAAAAATCCTGCAAAAAGAAAACAGTTATTAAAAAGTCCATTATATAATAAAACTTTCAATGAAATGGGTACGTTTACATCAACAACGCAATTACAAGATACAAACCAACTATAACAGAAAAATAATGTTTAGCTACATAAAAAACTTTAAACGAAAACAACATAAATGGGTAGGTAATAAAATTTTTATTTAAATATTTGTTACAATTATAATTAAATTTAAAGATACCAGCCACAAGAAATAAAATGCATAAAAACCTGGTCAAATACTTTATTCATAAAACGTACAAAAAATTAGACTATAAAATAAAAATCTGGTATTCATTTAATCGTTTATTTTTAAAATAAATATACAAATAGAACTTAAAATTTAATTACCAGTAATTTTATTCTGCATTACCTGTTCGGCTCTGTAAATTTTTAAACTAACTAAATAATCTCTTGCCACTTTAAATAAAGTGTAATAATTGAAAAACATCAACAGAGTAACTGATACAATGCAGTACCAGTAAGTGCTCCTTATTAGAACAATTAATTGAAATAAAACCAGTGAAACTTGAATACCTAAAATGCCACTAAGGGCCACTGAGGGGTTCTTAAAAATGCTCTAAAAATTGTTTACAAATAGTTACTAATAACTTTCAAATAATTCAGGTAATGAAAATTAAAATTCAACTTACATAAAATCGGGAATATGTGGTATTTCCTGGCTCTGCAGCATTAGATTCACCATGGGCCCTATACACGTCTCTACCATAACGGACAAGAGCCCCATGAGGCCATAACATGTCTTCCTGCCAGCAGTACGCCACTGGCAAGTGAGATCTAGACTCAGTTTTGTCCCAACTTCCCAAATGTATAGCGGAACGATGTAAAGTATCACAATAACGCAACGGTAATAGATGAATAAAATATGAAGTAAAAGAACCCAACCAAATAAAAACTACATGCTGTGAAGCCCAATACACATCATAGTAGAGAAAATTCTGTAATTTTAACAAATAAAAGACGCAAACCTCAAGTTAACATTTTGGATTACCTGAACGAAACAACAAGGAATAAATCCAGCATAATAAGTTGTTAAAACAGAACAAAACAAAATTTGTTTCATTCGTTCATTAAAATTAGCTTTCAGGCTTTCGACTTCACTTCTTATCTCTGAACTGTTTGATGAGCATGCATGAAGTGAAAGAGCATCCTCGATTTTTATCAGTTCAAAAAATGGAACAATATTAAACCCAAACAGTATCAGATAAACACATATACTAAAATTTTCCTTAGTTAATAGATTATAACAAGGAGTTATAAATAGTTTCTTACGGGTAACATAAGTAGAAAATGTTTACGATAGCATGATTATGAAATGCACAGGAGGCCGACAGAACACCGACAATTACCCCAAACAAAAAGAACCTAAAATTACCATTGTTAATGTAAGACCGACAATTATCAAAATCAAATTGCACCTTAATGAAAATATGGCCCACTCTCTAATTTTTTTTGGTAAGACACGTTCAATAAATTTACATCCAATAACATACACAAGCCTTCTTGCAAACAAGTACAGAATAAATGCAACTAGGTTTTTATCAATTAAATAAAAATTCTGTAAAACATTTATAATGATTTTAAATCAACTTGTACTTACTAAAAATAACCAAACTTACCACGGACTGTTTTGTGTAAGAATGGGGTAGCCACCATACACTTCTATATAAATGTAAAAATTGCAAACCTGCTGATACAGAAGCGTAAAGAAAAGTTAATAATTCAAACACAATATCATTTTCTACAGGCGTTGTGGGAAACGGAATATGTTTGGGTGCAGGGGGTTGTTCCAATCCTGGTAATGTGGGCACAGAAGGGCCTAAAGGCGAATAACGATTACCTGACGTCTCACTAGCATTTATAGGAATAAGTGCAGGAGCCACAGTAGTCCGAACTGTTCTTGGAAGTCTTCTAGCACTTGGCATTTCAGCTCATTTGAAAATAACAAGTAACCATGAAGGATATAACGACCGACAGAGAAATAACCCTAAACAGCAGCCATAGATGATAGATCAAGACACGCCATTTACAAAGACATGCTTTATCTATGGACACGCTTTAACACCATAGACTCATTCATAGAGCACGCTTCAACAGTCAATATTTCTTTAATTTATGATACGTTTACGACAATAAACATTCCTGTGAACTAGCACCAGATATAAATAATCCTCTGATTTAAACTATACCAATAGATTGCGCGTCGTTTGCGGGTTGTAAATCTGTAAGTGTTATGATTGTTCGTTCAAGAGTTCTGTTAAAGAAAAGTAAAATTGGTTCCGGTGCAGGTGGAAGTTAAATGTCAATTTATTCAAATGCTTTCCCTTATCTATGCTTTTAAAATAAGGTATATATAGTCTATGGTTCTGTCTTTTTCTTATCTATGCTTTTGAAGTAAAGTGTAGAATCTATGCTTTTGCTATATCTATGTTTTTGATAACCTATCACCCTTTGTGTATCTATTATCTATGTAACCTATTGTCTTAAAAGTGATTCATCGTCTCCATTTTAACATTGTGCTCAATTTTTTGTAATTTACGCTAAATGAAAGCAATGAAGTAGAAAGATATCGTTTTTCCTGAAGTTGTTTTCTTCATCATATAACATTATACTGTTAATATTCAACTGATGAATGAGCACTTGAAAATTTATTAATTTATACTCGCATTGAATCAACAAAGTGTTGCCAAAGGAAGGGTTTATGGTAATAAACTGGTAAGTAACAAAATCAATTGAAAGTAGTAAATGGAGTCCCAGAAACTTCAGTTTCTTAGACATTTGCAACTTACTTCAACAGACAACTTTTAAACAACGTTTTAGAAATGGCAAAAGCAGAATTAATGTGAAACTGACATTTACATTGTGAAAATAAGCATAATAAGTATATTCTATTTCAATATGAAAATCAGAAGAACAGTAGTTAATTTGGTAATTTTTTACATTAGTTGACATTGGAATTGAGACATGAAGTTTAGTCAGGTAGGTAGTACTCACCAAGTGAAGTAGTGTAGTAGTATTTACTAGAATTTTGTTTATTATTTGTTTAAAAATGAATGTGAGTGAGATACAGGCCCTTAAAGTTTTCTTAATCGGAGGAAATACCGGTAGGTACGGCCCTGGCTTCAGCCTTCCGTCAGCTGTTCCCGCCAAACATCGTTTGTCCTAAAACATATCTTCCTAACATTATTCTAATGTATCAGCCCGCCTTCGGCGGGCAGGGGCATTAAACAAACTCGAGTCTGTCATACATCTACCTAACTAAACAATGACGTCATCAATGCATATTTGGCGAGAANACTAGCTTAAACATACCATCTCTAACCTCTTGTCCTGCATGTTATAGAATTTCCCTTTGTATCCCATCTACACCTGGCGCCTTATTATTCATTAAATTTTTTAATGCTACATCGGACTCTTCTCTCATTATGGAATAACCTAACTCATCTATCTCCACACTATTTTCCTTCTCTAATATATCTCCTAACACAAGGCCTGCGTATAGGTTCTCAAAATATTCTTTCCACCTATCTGCCTTTTCCCCATTTTCTATCAAAATGACCCCTGCCTCGTTTCTTATATTATTACTACTATACCCTACATCTCTAAAATGCAACAACAACAGTAACAAAAATATTTTCCTCATTAATTTGAGGAAATTTATAGTGGTTCAAAATCAAAAAGTGATTTCAAGTTGATGTTGCATATTAACATGGACCACTATTAGTAATTAATAAAACAATGCCTTTTAATTACATTATAAGCCTCATCAGTTTTACCTACTGCAAAATTTTCTTCTACTTTCTTACACCTCCTATCAATTCACTGTTCGTTAGCTGCCCTACACTTCCTAATTATCGGCACCAATTTGGATATTACAAACTCTCATGCTCCAAATTTTATTCGGTTCGGTTAGTAATTTATTGAGACGCAGTGATGAGATCAAATAAGATTGAAACGACCGTATCAATATTGTTTAGGTATATATGAATGTAAACTGTGTCGTCGTTGAAGTACCTTAATAAAGCCTTATCTAACGGTTAAAATACTTCAGTAGCAGTAAATACACACTAGATGGCGATGCGCAGCCTGTATTTGCTAATATACATGGATTATTATTTTAGGCGTTGAGTTTCTTTTTTTTTTTTCAATAAAGTTGATGAAATAAAGAAACGTAACGGTCAATAGGGCCAATAAATGAAACCAATGTGACTTCACTTTTCACCAGATGTTACGCAAAAGTGATTTGGCTTGCTCTCCGCATAAATGGTAACCCTGAACGGGAAGAAATCGTTGAGAAAAAGGATTTCAATCATACATATTGCTTCAACAAGAAATTCTCTACACTTTTCTGAGAACGAAAGGGCACTTATCAGGCGCAGCAGATGGCAACAGCTGCGAATTCTCATACACTCCTATGTGGGAAAATTGTCCATTGTTTATTTTCCCTTTTCCACGCTTCCAGTAAAGGATGGTTTCCCATTTGTTTCGTCTATTTCCGTAAGGAAATTGCGCGTATGTACTTCCTACACCTAAACCTTGCGAAGTTGTTCTTTAAAGAGTGCGATTTGTTTTACGAACGAGCAGAAAATGCGTTGTCAACTTAAGCTGATGTGTTGAAAATGAATAAAAATTTTATTGTAGGGACACGTTGTATCAAATGTACATATAATTATACAATTACTTTATTGTGCTTCCTTCGGCATATTACGCTTTTATTTTTAAGGATATGCGATTGAACTTTTTAATTTGTATATCAAAGATGCTATTAATATTTTTACAGACAAGACTGCTTCAAGGATAGACTTGTAGGGACAAAAGATTAGTATACTTTAATTTGCGGATGATATTGATGTAGCAATAACAGTATCAACATCTAACAAGGAGACAGCTTTAGACCTTATGATGACGTTCTCATGTTGTTGTATGCATATTTTTACTAAAGAATGTAATGCAATAACAATAATTAATTAGGTACAGCATTGTTTTTTATTTTCTTAATTCTTTATGTAAATTAGACGCACGCATTACATCGATCATTAGATAGGTATCATGTGAAAAGTGGGGATGCAAAACAGTGCATTTAAATGAAGAAATCCAAAGTTATTAACAAGAATTAAAAAAGGTATTATCGTTAATCTCATTTAAAGTATACCTCATTTTTTTCCGCATGTCTTGTATGTCTGGGAATTTCCGGAATTTATAACTTAATAGCATCGTATAAAAATCTTTGAACAAAATTTACATTTGGTGTTAAAAACGAATGCTACGTTTTTGATGTTTAATGTAAAAAAAAAATAAAAAAACTTCGTAAATGTACATATTTATTAATTTTGTCGTAATTTAAGATTAGGAATGCCTGGGTATCAAAGGAGATTGTAAAATTAATAGAGGAATGACGAAAATATAAGAGTAGGATATATAAGGAAAGACAAGAAAACTGTAAGACCATAAAGTAGAAAATCATTCGAAAGTGTAGAGAAGCTAAGCAGCGGTGGATAGAAAATAGGCAAAGTGGAAAAAAAAACATAAAACAGGTAGGTACTTAAGATTGATGAGGGTTAAAGTTTATAATATTATATATAAAAAGATTATGAGTGGTGTCAGCACAGGGCAAAGTATTCTTTTAAATTTTAATCATTGATTACTATACATCTATCAAAAAACCATAATGGCCGACATCAGTGACAATGCGACAACAATGGAAAAAAATGATGGCCGACAACTGCAACAATTAGAAAAGAATGATGGCCGACACTACGTCATAATGTAGCAATAAAAATGGCCGGGAGCAGAGGGAAGAACTAATATAATTAAAGGGAATTTTCGAACATTAGGCCACAGTAATAATAAAATATAGGACGAATTGTCATTTTGTTAGAAAATTAGGAAAAGGCTGATAGGCGGAATAAAGAATATTTAAAGACTCCATACGCAGAAAAAGAATTAGATGTACTTAACTTATTTTGCAGTTGGTTATGATTTTTCTTCAGAAATGTCAAAATAAAAATAAAGTATAACTACATTTTTTTACAGGATACATCAATGTTGCATTTGTTTTAATTTATTTTTATAAACCGTAATAGAAACCGCGCGTGCATTTCGACTTTATAACTTATTTAACGAGAAAGGCTGAATTATTCTCTTCTAATAGTGAATCCATTTAGCATTTTATTAAATGTTAAATATTTGAATATGTCAGATGGTTATTTTGTTTAAGTGTGCTCCACAGTATGTTATTTTCCTTTTGATCTGTGTAAGCTCATGGAACGCACCATATTTATCCATAACATAAATTGGGATTGTCCTGCATCTATGATTATTTATTTATCCAACTTAATTTTTTTAAAGTGACGACTTATTGCTATTGTGATATTTTAGTTAATTTTTGGTGTGTTACTTGCTTTACAATGCATATTTTTATACTATTTCATATTTTATTTGTTTAATAGCATGTTAATTCATAATTCTTGTCGATTTCTTGTGGATTGAGCGATAGACAGGAAGAAGAATTTCCGTTTATCGCCAGGTGAGCCTAATGGAACGTACCCTGTTTGTCATTAGCATAAATTAACATCATGCATCTATGGTTATTTCTTTTGACCACAGCTTTCCCTTATCTATGCTATTAAAATAAGGTATATAGTCTATGGTTCTAGTTTTTTCTTATCTATGCTTTTGAAGTAAAGTGTAAAATCTATGCGTTTGCTATATCTATGTTTTTGATAACTTATTGTCTTAAAAGTGATTCATCGTCTCCATTTTAACATTGTTCTCAATTTTTTGTAATTTACGCTAAATGAAAGCAATGAAGTCGAAAGATATCGTTTTTCCTGAAGTTGTTTTCTTCATCATATAACATTATACTGTTAATATTCAACTGATGAATGAGCACTTGAAAATTTATTAATTTATACTCGCATTGAATCAACAAAGTGTTGCCAAAGGAAGGGTTTATGGTAATAAACTGGTAAGTAACAAAATCAATTCAAAGTAGTAAATGGAGTCCCAGAAACTTCAGTTATAGTAGTAATTAATTACATTTTGTTGCCCCGTTTCTATAGAATATCCAACAACTGAGGGAGTTGCAGTTAATTTTAATGCTTTTGAAACCACCAATGCTGCTGGAAATCAATTTTGAAGTCGCCGAAACAACAAATTACCTGCAGTGGTAGTGCTCCTGGAGTTAGTTTGCTCATCACCCTTGTAGATTCTAGAATGCAACTTTTTGAAGTTAATTAAGGTGAGATTATATTGCCATAATTAATATAGAAGTTTGTCCTTACCAGCAGTGTAAAAATTAGGATAATACAAGCAATAGAGCATTTATTATAAATTTTATAAATAATAAGTGATAAAAACGTTGTGTGTATATTACCTTCAATATGGGAACAAAAAGTTAAGGGAAAAGGAATCTTCAAATTTTCGATATAAAATATGTTTATTTTGCTTATTAATGAATGGTACTAAATCATTGACAAGCATATTCATTATTTGTCTCTAACTTCACCAGTACATTGTCATTTAAAATGTTACTATTTTACTTGTTTAAAAAGGGTAGTTAAATAGTTTTTCTTTTTCATTTCTACAGATTGGCCAACAAAAGAGAATTAGGAGTTAATTTTGACCCTAGCAATGACCATAACCAAAGTGTACATTTATTCCTTTCTGAATTTGATTTGCTTTTTGCAAGTTGGAAGTTTATTCTCTGCAGCTAATAAATGTGAGAACTTAGTAGAATTAATATTAACTGCATGTTATTAATTTGTTGCTTATTTTCGCAACACAAGACTTCCTGGAACATTGTGCATTTGGTAGCAAATATATATTGCTTCCTTTCGTTAAAATTGCAAAACTAAATTTTTTCGCAAAAGACCCAATTGGCGTTTATAGCGCCACTACATGTGTTCATTCTGTCATGAAAATTCATAGATAACAAACAAACATTCAAAAAGAACATCGATTAAGAATTGTATGAGGAAATGAGGAAGACTTCTTATATTAAAATTAAAAGTTAACTTACAGCAATGTTGATGTTTAATTTGAATGTAAATTAATTATAGAGTTGACTTGGTGATTTGTTTTTCCATCTATGCTTTCTTTTTGTTTATGCTCTATAGTTTTTCCTTCCCAGTTATCTATATGTCTATAGTATTAATTGAGGTAGTTATTCACGTATCTATGAAATTTATGCACCTTGTTCATGCTTGTTCATCTATTATCTATGCTTGTTCATCTTGCCATTTTGTAATAATCTTGTATTAGAAACGATGTTACGTCGCCATTTTTATAATCTTGCAATTGTACTTGCTTTTCGGTGCGTATTTTCAGTATATTTCATGTTTTTATTCTTAAATAGTGTAGCTTATTCATTTTTCTTTTACATTTTTACATATTGGCGATAAGATTAAGAAATGAAGAGTGGAAAAGTGTTAATTTTTAAGCTACTGAAAAAGCAAGCTGTCTGCTGTGGTGTTCTACCTGTTAGTTTTTCATCTTGAAGAATATGGCAGTTCATTAAGGTGGGCATACATGCTATATTATTTATTTGACATTGATAGATAGAAAGCATTACTTTAACCATGTATAGTGCACGTTATTTATTAGGGAGGCTAAATTAATTATATCTGAATAATCCTCCACAGGAACATTTGAAAAACTAAATTTAGGAGCATTGGTTGTATCAGTGTTCATTAGCTCCAGAAAGTAGATGTACCTACGGTCCTAAAGCTTGAAGGTGCCTTTTTCTCATTGGGAGTGGAGACGGTATGCTGTTGGTTAAGGAAGGATTTAAGACAATGAACTGGTAAGTAACAGTATTAATTAAAAATAGTGAATGAGGCGCAAGAGGCATTGATATTTTAAACGTTTGAGGGTTACTTCAATGGATAACTTTTAAAGAACGTTTCAGAAATGGCAGAAGCAGAACAGAAGAATTATTGTGGAACTGTTCTTTCCGTCAGTGTGAATGTGACTGATTTATTTGCCTTAAAAGTGAAAATTAATTATTTTTTCTTGTCCGTCTCTATAGAGTATCCAACAAATGAGGGAATTGCAGTTAATATCCATGCTACTGAACAACCAATGTTTTTGAAGTCTTCACCTTGCAACATTGTGCAGTTAGTCTTTAATTTTGGCCAAGTGAAGGGGGAGGCCATTGGAAATTAGTATTGAAGTCACTGAAACAAATTGTCTGCAGTGGTATCCTTCCTGAATTTGGTCTGCTCATCGCATTGGTAGACTCTAGAATGCTACGTTCCTGGAGTTGGTTTACTTTCCACACCTGTAAACTTTGGAATGTTACATTCTACAATTAATTAAGGTGAGAATACTTGATATAATTAATTTTAATTGCTCTTTATTAATCTGTTTGCCACCGTATTTGTTTCAGATCGACGTTGGAGAAGACAAAGATGACCCCGTAGTTGAAATAGTTCTTTATCTTGCATGCTCTATCTGGTAGAATTCATTAAGTTGATTTCATTCATATTTTCTTTTTGCATGTTTTTTTGTAGTTAATTTGATTTAGTTATTATTTTGCATGCTTATTTTTGTTCATTTTCTTTAAAGTAATTGTTGATTGTAGATGTTTTTATTTATTTTTTTTCGTATGTATTACTAGTGTAGTAGTAGAACTAACACATTTAGTAGTTGTAGTATAGTCTAACCTTGCTTACCTCTTCGCTTAGCTTACTGCATATTCTTCCTAATTTGCTTTGCATTTACCCTACGAGTTCTACATGATTCAACGTTTCGTTATCGTGTGTGTTTCTTCTCACCCTTGTGGAATTAGGGAGGGCCTCCCCGAACGACTTCCCTTGGGCTTAGCTATTTAGTTGATCTTAAAAGTGTCTTATACACTTTTCGCGAGTCTACTCTAGCGTTACTTCCTTTCAGACAGGGTACAGTGGGTTATCTGGAATAGGAGCAATAGGCGACTGCCCAGCTTGCCTTGGCGAAATCT